CTAGAAGGCAGACTCAAGATTGATTTATTTTTGGGTTTCAGAGTACAATTACTGTCTGATGGTAATACGCAGGAAACTCTTTAAATTGTTTGTAGAATCCTTACTGTAGATTAAAGCTAAATCATGACGGGGGAAGTAAAAGATCAATTATAAAAAAAGTTATCATATCATCTTCTGTAACGAGTGAGTCGGGCCACAGAACCTCAGAAATTCCTCCTCGAAGGCACACTAACAACATACTTTTTCCCTTCAGAGTAAAGTTACTGTCTGATAGTAATACGCAGGTGAATTCTTAAATTATGACGATACAAAAGTTTGAAAATCCCTTTTTTTTAGATTAAAGCGAAATCATGAGGGAACAAAAGACCAATTATTAAAAAAGTTATCATGCCATCTTCTGCAATGCCTTAACAACCAGTGTTCATGAATACGATTTTTTTTCCCTTAGAAATTTCTCCTCGATGGCACATTGCATCACAAAAAAACTTTCCAAATTTGGGGAAGTTATAGACGCTACAAACGAGTCTTTCTTGTCATACTGTTTCAAAAAATTACAGCAAATTCCAATCTGATCTGATCTGATATGGTGAGTTATTTCTACGCCATTATGAAGATGAAAAAAAAATATTACGAGGATACAAATGCTTGCAAAACTCTTTTTTAAATTAAAACGAAATCAGAAGAGGGGAACAAAAGATCAATTTTAAATGTTATCGTGTCATTAATCTATTGATGAATTAGTCCGTCGCAGAATCTCAGAAATTCCTGCAAGATTACGGCCAGCTAGAAATATATTGTATCAGTATTTATCGCTCACTTAAACTAAACAGGAACTTATCTTTTCAAGCTAAAGTAATCTTTCTCGTAAAAGAATTTTTATAATATAATCTATCTATATATATATAATTGAAACAGAAATTGTAAAGCTAACAAGTAATGAGACGTAAGACCTATTTGGTCTTAAAAATTTTTTGCGCATAATGTTGCAAAAAGATATGAAATAATAGTAGGTAGAAACATTGCAGTGATCTTGCTAAAAAGTTACCAGGAGCTGTAGCTCCACGAAATAGTTCAACGCTGTATTACTAAAATATTAACAAAGAAGAAATTTTTTTTTAAAAATATTAATCTGGAAAAAATTGGAAAAAAAAACTGCTTACACGCGAAAAAAACTGTTAAAATTAATGTTGGAAGACATGCGAATGCACGAAAAAACTAATGTGACCATTGTGATATGTGAAAAGTTAATACACATAAAAATAGATTGACGGAAAAAAATATTAAAACACAAAATGCAAAAATCATAATGAAAACATAAATTGCAAAATTACAAAAATAAAATAATTACAAAGCGGAAAATGATAAATTAACCCACTCGTACCCTCAACCAGGCTTTTCAAGGGAAAAATGATTGAGTGTCGGACTAGGCTAAATACCATTACGCGTTTCGCCGAAACAGACCATTGAAGCTCTTGTTTGATGAATAAAATTTTTCATAAAATTATGAATTGTCCCGAATAAATCTTTTTTTGGAGCTTCAATTCTCTGTTCCTTTTTCCCGACGCGTCCGCAGAAAAACACATTAAGGTGTTAAAAAAGGTAAAAGCAACTCCGAGAAATGTAAAATTAAAATCAAAATAAAATAAATAGCGGTCTGCTATTAGTCAAAAATACAATAACGTACGGGCTCGTCCTGCATAGCTTAAAGAAGAAAAAACTTTTATAAAGATAATGGTACTGTAATCAAATTAATATGCAATTAAACTTGCAAGAAAACTAACGCCGTTGGGTCTTATTAGGACCAAAAAAACACATAAAACAAAAGAAATATTTGTAATAATAAAATTCCATAATCAAGAATACACTTAAAATTTTAACTGTATCTCCTTTTCATTTTTAATGGCGACGGTCTCTTATTTGAAACTACGTGGAATTAAATCCACAGCTCCGTAGTCAAGTTCTTTTTTCCTGCCTTTTCTACACGTCCAGTTTTAGAATGTTCTGGAGATATTTAAAGCGAACTGGATTGACTGACGAGGCTGACGTCATTTCTTGGAAGCTCCGCCTTTCCAGAGGCTATAAAAGGACTCGCAAAAGAATATCAGGGCTTTTTCTTTAATGTCACGATGCAGTAAACTTCATACAAAAAGTTATTAGTAATTCTTTTTTATTTACTCCGGATATCTGATTTTGTAACTGCTATTTTCTCCTGAAATATAATAAATGGATCCTGTTTTTTAAAACTTATCGTCTCATAATTTAAGCTGTGACTACATCTATGATTCTTCACCAATCTATTTATTCCGTACAAATGCTGGTACACCACATATATTATATATAGATTATATATAATTTATATATAGTTTATATTTATGTTATATATATATTTATATATAAATATATATCTCTCATTATCATTATAAGGGCACAGCCCCGATCCAACAAGCTGGCTTGTGCCGGTCGTATGAGATACATATATGTGTATATATGAAAAAAAAAAAAAAAAAAATTAAATAGTTATGTATATACCATATGGCTGGCTTGTGCCAGCTAGTTGGATCAGGGCCGTGACCTTATAATTATATGGGGGATATATATATTATATTCTTTTACGAGAAATATTCTTTTAGCTTCAAGGACCTCCGAAATTCCTCCTCGAAGGCACACTCACGATAATATACCTTTTTACTTCAGAGTAAAATTAATGTCTGATGGTAAATACGCAGATAAATTTTTAACGACTAATTCATTATTTGTTAATGAATGACAACATAACTATTATAATGGATTTTTTGCCTCTCGGGAGCTTGCAATAAATCGCTTTAAGCTAAAAAGATTTTGCTAGGTAATTTTTTGAAACAGTATGACACGAAAGGCTCCTGAGTAGCTTATATAACTTTCCACAAATTTTGAAATTTTGGGGTTATGCAGTGTGCCATCGAGGAGGAATTTCTAAGGGAAAATTGGTGGTTGTTCCGGCGAACAACCACCAATCTGCCTTCTGGAACCTTGCCATCTGGAAAAAAGTTACAGATATCTTAGGAGACTCGTGTAATTTCCCAAAATCTGGTTAAATTTCTTTCGACTTGCTATTGGATTGAAATTTAGGTTTTCCTAAAGAAGTGTTGGCAACGCGAAATTCCTTATCGATTTCCTTTAAGAGGTCTATATTTTTTTAATCTGTTGGCAACGCGAACTCTATAGACTTCCATCAGCAAATCTGTAATTTTTTTATATGCAATTGCCTCTCAAATGTCGTTCATTGCCATCTGGAAAAAAGTTACAGATATCCTGGCAGACTCATGTGTAATTTCCCCAAATCTAGGTAAATTTCTTTAGACTAGCTATTGGATTGAAATTTAGGTTTTTCTAAAGAAGTGTTGGGAATGCGACATTCCTTATCGATTTCCTTTAAGAGGTCTGTATTTTTAATCTGTTGGCAATGCGAAATCAGCTAGATTACAGAAATTACAGATAAAAGAAATCTGTAATTTCTTTTATCTGTAACTGACTCTCAAATATTATTCATTGCCATCTGGAAAAAAATTACAGATATCCTGGCAGACTCATGTGTAATTTCCCCAAATCTGGGAAAATTTCTATAGACTTGCTATTGGATTGAAATTTAGGTTTTCCTAAAGTAGTTTTGGCAACGCGAAATTCCTCCAAGAAGATATTAACTCCCCTCAAATTTGGAAATTTTTATGTAAGTTGCCAGCCGATAAAAAGTTAGCAATTTCCTTTAAGAAGTCTGTATTTTTTAACCTGTTGGCAATGCGAACTATATAGACTTCCGTCAGCAAACCTGTAATTTTTTTATTTGTAACTGCCTCTCAAATTTGGCTCGTTGCCATCTAAAAAGTTACAGATTTCCTAGCGGATATGCGTAATTTTTTATCAGCTGGAATCACTAAATTAAATTTTGTTGGAAAACAAATGTGGCAGACTGTACCTATATCTTAATACTCATAGGGAAGTAGACTGTCACGTGATATACGAATTTAATGATGATAAAGTCAGCAGCCTTGGTACCTGGCAAAGTCCATACACTGTAAAAAAAAATCTGTAAAGTTACTAAGAAAAGTCATGGAAACTGGGATGCCATGGATTATTTGAGTAATCAAAACAGGAATATTCTTAGTAACTTTACAGAGATTATACCTGTAATGGTTACAGATGTTTGACATATAATGTTACAGGAAGATATTCTGTAGGCATAACAAAGTTTTTGTATGTTGATTACCGAAGCATATGTCTGTAAAGGTTACAGATCAAAGATCTGTAATGTTACAGGAAATTATCCTGTAAGTATAACATGGTTTTCATATGTGATTTACCAATGTAAACATCTGTAAAGATTACAGGAAATAATAGTGTAAGTAGATCGTAATTTTTGTATGTGAATTACTAAAGGGAATATTTGTAGATTACTAGTGTTCTGCTTGTAAGGCTTGTAAGGTTGCTGCAAGTGATTATGTAAGAACATGTATTTTCATGTGAAATTTTAAAGGATATATATGTAAAAGTTGCAGGTAATTTACTTAAAAGTTCTTCCAAATAATTATGCATATAGAACATATTTGTCTTATACAAAATACAAAAATGATGTATTCTCAAATATTAAATATTTTGATTGTAATATTACTATAAATAATTACACATGTAGAACATATGTTTTATGTGAAATGTCTACAGCTACTGCTTGTAACAAAATATGCTGTTGCAACTCTCAGGGCTACAACGTGCAGGTTACAAATTAAATAATCACAGCAGGGATTATTAATATAAAGATTTAATATGGATATCTCACACAAGCTGAAAACGTTACATTACTCTATTAAGTGCATACATATAACTGAGTGAAAAGGGAATTTCCCCGCTTAGTTCTCAATTAAAGAAAAAATAAGAATAATAAAAAATAGTCCAATCAGATGCGGCGCTCCTTCTGTTGACCTTCGCCGAGCCGTTATGTAATCGTCTGTCTGCAGTGGCCGTCTTCCAACATTCTCCCCCTCTTTGAGTCGACTTCAGGTTGGCTCAAAGACATACAGTACCTGGTCGAAGAGATCCAATTTCTGAGGCACCTTGATCACACGTCCAAATCTTGACACTTTAGCACCTTGCAGGATGTTACTAGAGTCATTTGAAGAATCATTAGTATCTGAATGCTCATCACTAGAAATAGAAGAAATAGGATTAGTAAAAGAGTTATCGTTTATGTGATCAGTGTGTTTGTCCGTTAACTGCACTTCCAATGGAAAGACTCGCTGAATGGGACGAAGCAGCGTACCAGCTTGAGTCTTCAGTTCTACAGTTCTCACCTTGCCATCTTTCCCAGGAATTAGTCGAATGACCTTAGCTAAAGGCCAATGCATCCGTTTTTTGATGTCATCTCCTATTAGGACAATTTCACCCAACCGTAGCTCTAACGATAGATTCTTCTTATTTTGGACCAGAAGGCCTAAATATTCTTTCCTAAATCTATGCCTTAAATCATTAAGCAGTTTTTGGCGATGTCTAGCCCTTTTTCGAATCGCAGAAATCAACATCAGGAACACCTAAGCTACGATTCTCGATGAGAAACATGGCTGGGGAAAGTGGGATTAAATCATCCGGATTTTCCGACACATACGTAAGAGGTCTAGAGTTAATTATTGACTCGCAGTCGCACAATACTGTGTACAACTCCTCGGTTGTAAGAACCGCGTTACCGAGTGTCCTTCTCAACAGTTTCCTTTATTACACAAACTAACCTCTCCCACCAGCCTTTACTACACGAACTAACCTCTCCCCCAGCCACCCCACCAAGCGGCTGTGGGAGGGATTAAACTTCCATATTATACGTTGTATAGCTAGCCATTTGCCTCAAAATTTTTTCCCAATCGATGTTACTAAGTTCTCTTTGCGCTCCTCTGAAATTAGTTCCGTTGTCGGAATAAATTATTCTTGGCCTCCCCCTTCTGGCTACGAATCGTCTCAATGACAACAAGAATGCGTCGGTAGACAATGAGGAAGTCAATTCCAAATGAACGGCCCTATATATTGCACATGTGAACAAAACAATGCAAACTTTTTCACCTCCCTTCACATACAAAGGTCCTGCCAAATCAACTCCTACCACCTCGAACACCACTGCGTCATTGAAACGATCGCCTGGTAGCGACACCGGCTCGCAACCGGGAGACTTGGCCTTGTATCGATTGCATCTTACACAATTTTTTACGACTTTCCTGACCGCTTTTCTGCCCTTCACTATCCAAAATCGCTCCCTTAATATTCCAAGTAATATTTGGGTTCCAGCGTGACAATTTTGTAAATGATAATATTCTATCAGACGCTGGGTGAAAATACACCGGTCTGGTAAAATAATTGGACAAATAAATTCAGGGGTCGTCTGATCGCTCTGTAATGCGCGTTTTCACCCTTTTTATACCCTCTTTGTCTGAGATGACACTCATATTGGGAATAGAGTCGGCAGAGGGAAAATACTTATTTTGTACAATTTTTATAAGAGTTTTTTCTGCATATTCCATCTCATGAACGGTTAAATCTCCAGTCTCTCGAAATGCACGTTTACTTGTTGCGTTTTTCACAAACCGCAATATCCATGCGACTAATCGAATGATGGATTGAAAATTCGAAAACCTAATTGCATACCAAGGTATTTCCTCTTCAACTGAATTAAGGTTACACAATCTAACCTTCCTTTTTCTCGTTCTACCTCAGAGGTCTCGTAAGCCAAAAGGTCTGGTGGCCAGTTGTTATTAGGTTCCAGGAGCCAGGATGGACCCTCCCACCAAAGAGAATCGAAAATGAACGAGGGGAACTGCCTCTTGAAAGCATATCTGCCGGGTTTAAATCACCTGGAACATGGCGCCAACACTGAGAAGGAATCAGACTGTTTATTTCTTTTTACCCTATTCGCAACGAAAACTGACCAATCACCACGGTTCTTAATCCACCAGAGTGCTACCATAGAATCACTCCATGCAATAATTTTCAAATCAGGCAAGTCTAAGGCGGCGTATACTGAGTGAACCAGTCTCTCGCGCCAATGCAACAGGCCATCAATTCTAACCGAGGTATTGTCAGAGATTTTAACGGCGCTACCCTGGATTTGGCTCTGATCAATCGAATTTTGACTCCCACGGGCGTTACAGTTCTAATGTAAACACATGCACCATAGGAGCTCTTACATGCATCAACGAATAGATGCAGCTCTGAATTCTCATTTATCTCTACATATCGTGGAATACTAATTTTCTCAAGATATTTAATTTCATCCTGCCACTTCTGAAAAGTTTTCTGAATGTTATCTGGCAAGGGATCATCCCATTTTAATTTCATAGTCCAAGCCTCCTGTAATAGTAACTTAGGTAACAAGGTAGTTGGACTCAAAAAACCCTGCGGATCAAAAATTTTATGTACCATAGCCAAAATATTACGTTTACTTATCTCATTATCCATTGAATAATTAAGATTACATTTTAATGTATCGTTATCCAAATCCCATAAGATTCCAAGAAGAGAAGTTATACCTGAACTACGGGAAATACAATGACCTGGAACATTACTTTCCCAACCCCGTAGGTTAAAACATCCCCGAGCCATTACTTCTGTAGCCTTAACTATAAAATTTTCTTGCTGTTTGATATCGTGAACCCCAGTGACACAATTGTCAACATAAAACGAATGCTTTAATTTTTGGGTCACATCGTCAAACTCAGGCAGGGGAATTATCCAAGAGATGCTCTATCGATGCAGAGAGTTGGAACGGAGACGAACAAATGCCGCATACCACTCGGCAATGTCTGTAAATCATAGGTTCTTCAAGAGTTGGAAGAAAAAAACCTCAAATAATCTCTGTGTTCTGGGATAATACTCTGCTGAAGAAATGCTTTTTTGTATGTCCGATGATAAACCAACAGAATACAATCTAAACCTGTCAATTATATCAGGTATGAGTTCAATTAAGTTCGTCCCTCTATTTGAACAATCATTAAGGGACGGCTGATTTCTCTCTCGGGCTGAAGCGTCGAACACCGGCCTTACCTTCATTGTCTGGCTAGTATGCTTTATAACAGGTCTATGGGGCAAATAATAACTCAAATTATCAATTTCAGTTTCAGGAACCTTTTCTATTATTTTAAGGTCTTCCCATTGCTTAAAAACTACCTTATAGTCATCTAACTGATTTTCCTCTCATTAATTCGTTGACACATTCTTTGATGCCTTTTAAAAGTCATAGACTTATTGTTAGGTAACAGAATTTCAGATTTAAAGGGTAGTGGCAATTCATATCGGCCATCAGGAAGAACATTTAAATTCTCTTTAAATTGCTTAACGGTGTCAGAGTGAGCAAGTTTACGTTTAACATCTTCAGTTGGATCTGTTATGCCAATGGCATCTAAATTCCAGAGTTCAGTTACGCTAAGATTAGCACAATGCAACGAAACTACATTATTGCACAAATTATTTTGTAGTAATGCTGGAATAGTAGCTGAAGTAGGTTCTTTAGATAAGCTGTTTACTTTACCAATCACAGTGTATCCGAATTTAGTCCCAACTACAGTTACACCAGAGTTCAGTTTCAGAGAACTGCCAGTAATAATGTCCCCAATGGCATCTGCTCCTAAAAGCAACTCAATGTCATATTCTTTAGCTTGCAAATCAGACAAGGTAATATTTCTTTCTTTTAATTCTTTTAGGGTATTGGGATCAACTACTTTTGGAACACATTCACATATTTTGTTTTGAGAAAGTACTTCAAAGTTATGGTCATAAGTGCCCTCAAAATTTCTTAAATTAACATCAAACACTAAATGGGAATGAGGACTTGTCTCTCTCCCCCCCCCCAAACAAACCGTGTATAATGGTTTGTTTCGATTTAGGACGCAGTTGCAAAAACGCGATAACCCTTTCTGAAAGATAAGATTTCTGAGAACCACTGTCCAAAATCGTACGAACTGTAAGTTGTCTACCCTCAAAAACTATTTTTAAAACAAGTGTTTGCAAATACACATTTTCATTAACAGTTGACTGATTAGACAACACATTACTTGAAATAACAGTACTGTCAGTTTCATTTGGCTTTACAGGTTCGCCATTTGAGCACATAATGGTATAGTGAAATCTATCACATGTTAAACATTTTACTTTATTTTTGCATGCCCGTGAACTATGTCCAACTCGTAGGCAGCGAAAACAGGCGCGCTTTTGCGCTTTTGCACCAAAAGTTTTCGTTTATCTTCTAAAGACATTTTGCGAGCAGAAAAACATTCGGCAGAATTGTGGGATTTCTCACAAAAAATACAACGTAAATTTCGCCTACCTGTATTGTCTTGAACATTTACCAAGGCAGCAGCTGTAGAGCAACCCGGATCATCACAATGGGGACGCGAATGTGCAGAACGTGAAGCTCCCAACCCGGTACGAGCGAGCTTAATCATTTCCTCACTTTGCACTTCATTTCGAAGAAAGCACAAAAGTTTATCCAACGAACGCGCACTATCTTGCTGTGACGCAGTATCTTCCATCGAGCGGCTTCTTTCCCACGCACGAAGAACAGTCTCTGGTAAACAGGACTCAACAAGTGGCTCTAAAAATTCTGCAAATTTTTCTTTAGTTCTACCGAGGCTGTCCAGTGCCATAAGCTTGCTCTCAAGTAAATCATAAAGTTCAGCTAAATCTACTTTAATCCTACCAGTAGCATTTTTCATTACTATGGAAAGTAGATCCCGTACATAAATCTGAACCAAAAGTTCATCTCTCCCGAAGCGTTCTTTAAGTTGTGCGATCACCTTTGAATAGTTTTCTTTAGTTGGCGGAAAACTGGTTACGAGTCTTGACGCTTTAGAATCTGCTACCACACATTGTAAAAGATATTGAAATTTATCTTCATCGACAATGGAGAGGTCGTTGTGAATTTTTTCAAACTGGGACCAAAAAGCAAGAAAGTCTTTCGGTTCTCCACTAAATTTTCGCAATTCAAGTTTCGGAAGCTTGAATTTCCTTTTTTGCTCGGTTGTTGTTCCTTCCGTAACCGAATTTGCCTTCTTTGCATTTTCTAACAGCGAACAGATCAAGCAGAACTTGTCACGGTATTCTTCTGCTTTCAAAAAATCTTCAGAATATTCATCTTGAAGGGCATCATCACTCAGCAACAAATTCGAAACTTCTTCTTGAGTTGTTTCCAAACGTGAGAATTTGTCTTGAATCTGCCGAAACAACGTACTGACTTCGTCACTTATTAAACTTTTGTTTTCGATCTTCTGAGCTATATCGTTGCAGCATACCGTAAAAGCTGTTCTCAGCGACTTTCGTTTTGCTTTCAAAACTTTTATATCCATATTTCATCAAAAATATAAAGTAGCGGACGCCAAATTTACTATGTTGCAACTCTCAGGGCTACAACGTGCAGGTTACAAATTAAATAATCACAGCAGGGATTATTAATATAAAGATTTAATATGGATATCTCACACAAGCTGAAAACGTTACATTACTCTATTAAGTGCATACATATAACTGAGTGAAAAGGGAATTTCCCCGCTTAGTTCGCAGTTAAAGAAAAAATAAGAATAATAAAAAATAGTCCAATCAGATGCGGCGCTCCTTCTGTTGACCTTCGCCGAGCCGTTATGTAATCGTCTGTCTGCAGCGGCCGTCTCCAACATATGCATTTATTATGTTGGTTCTAAGAATTTTTTTTTTAAGGAAAAATACTTAGTTTTTAAAAGATTCATTTCTTTCAAAAATCCATATTAAAAGAGCTATTTATGTTTTTTTAATTGCATTACTTCCTTTTGATTTAAGACTCTAAAGTTACATTGCATCAGAAATAGCTGGAAAAAACTTGTGTATTAGACTTAATGGTTTTTGGGCAAATAAATTAGTAATGTTCTAGAATTCCTCCGCTGAACACTGGTAGTTTGGTCCGAGGTTCAAATCCCGCGAATGGGCTGGTTGTATGGCTATTTTCATGGTTTTCTCCATGTGTAACATGTATATAAGCCAGTTTCCCTTCGAAAGTCCTCCACAAAGGCATTTCTCCGCTTAGGCAGATAGTTCTAGTGTGCTTTGCCATACTTAAATAAACTAACTTAAATACATATATAAAAAAATTCTCCTTATACCCAACAGTGTAATCTAAAGAGACTGCAATTGGATATGATTACAGTAAAAAAATATTTTAATGAAATTGTTCAATAAACAATTCTAAATATTTTTCAAATTCTAAAAAAAAATTACAAATGTAATCAACAATGAACTTAAATTCAGGTATCACAAGCTATCCAAATTATTTTCATGCTTAATTGCATTATCATTTAAATTACAACATATATTCTTTTTAGGCAAAATGCTTTTTAATCTCTTCTGCTACTGACCATTAATTGAAATAATAGATTAATTAAATCGGACAGTTGTACAGGCATTTTCCAGATTAAACTTTATTAATAATTACATTCTTCTCATTGAACAAATTGAAAATTAGTTAGTCCTAAATTTAATTTTTCAAGTATTCCTTCTACTAAAACATTTATTGCCTACAGGCAGCCGACAGTAAGCTGAACACTAGCATTGGCTCTAGATTTAATCCTAGAGAATGGGCGCCTGTGTAAATGTTTGTAACATGATGTTTCCTTAAAATATTCCTTTCCTTAGACAGATGGCCTCTCTTGCTTTGTCATATTTCAAATAATCAATTCAAACATTTAATGTAGTATGACTTCACAACTTCGTCCCAAATTCTAACTGAAAAATTGAACGAATCCCTGATACTGTGTCTATAATACATGATGAATAGAAGGATCTTAAAAATTTAAGGAAGAAAATAACGTATTTGGTAATGCCTTGATCCTATAATTATATTTTTCTCTGCTATGCCTAGAAATTAAGAAAAGTAGACTTAAGAATAAAACTGAAGATAAAGAATTCAGCATTAATAATTGATTGTTAGTAGTAATAAACTAACAATTTTTTAATGAAAAATTGATAATGCAAAATGGCTCCTTAAATTTTAATTTTCTATCCTCTATTAATGGAACTAATTTATCACTATAATCAAAATGACTCAGATTTTCTTCCTTAATGATGTCAAAATACGATGATTATTTCAAATTCCTGTGGATGATATAATTTTCTCAAAATTGTCTATTCATTTATTAAATGCTTCAGATTAATGTTTTGTTATTATTTCAAAACCACTTTTTAAATCTTCGGGAAAAATGTTTAAATCTTCATTCAACAAAATTATATTTTTAGATAGATTTTTATGGAATAAAAATTCTGTAAATAATTTCATTCACACAAGATATTAACTTAGTATTTGCTCATATTTTACAAGTATTCGATGAGCCTTTTAGTGTACTACAGTTACATAAGGAACCATTCATTTAATGTAAATTCCATAATCATATATTTTATTTCAAAAAATATCGTATTCTGAAAATTGGATATTGCAATGTATTTCACTCCTAACATATACAGCTAGCGTAAAGATCTATAATTACCATCAATATAATTCATATAATGAATTTCGTTAGCATAATTACATCTTGCAAGATTAGATTTAGTTGACAAAAACTATTAAAGATATGTAAAAGATCTATTTGGTTCCAGCAATTTAATGCAGAAATGAAAATACTTTTAATACCATATATTAGTGGTTCTCAAGCATTTACCTTTGCTAGATCATGCCTCTCCTCTTACCCAACTTGAAAAATAGATAATACACTTATTTTGATTTTATTATATTTTACTTTTTTATAAATTAAATAAGAAAAAAGTATGGAAAATGTTGATACATACAAAAACAGATCTTATATTTAAAATACACAGAAAAAAAAAAAGACTTATCCAAATGTACACTGAATCTTCTATGTAGAATGAAATTGTACACACTGTGAAAAATGAACGTGACAAACAAAATTGATTTAATTTTGCACACATTCTTTTACATGCATATCAGTGACACTGGGGGGGGGGAACTCTTATTCCATACACAGAATTAGAAACAATTAGGTTTTATTTTTATT